GGTGACGGTCCCTGATCGTTATCTTATTTAACCCTCGATAGTCTATGCAGGGCCGGAGATCCCCCTCCTTCTTCTTTACAAAGAAAAACCCCGCGGCCCCAGGGGATGTTGAGGGTCGGATGAATCCCTTCTGCAGGGCATCAGTTATATAATTGTCCATAGCCCGGGTTTCCGCCAGAGAGAGGGAGAACAGGCGACCCCGAGGGGGGGTGGTGCCGGGCTGGAGCCTGATCTCCAGGTCGTAGGGTCGGTGAGGAGGTAACCTGGTAGTGGGTTCTTTAGCGAAGACCTGAGCGAGGTCGTGGTATTGAGGAGGGATGAGCGTCAGGTCTACGTCTGTGGGAGGGGCTGCTCCAGTCCGAGGTGCAGGGGAGTCCCGGCGGTTATGGCAACCCGTGCCCCAGGCCAGGACTTTACTGGTGGACCAGGAGATGTGAGGCTCATGGCGGCAGAACCAGGAATGACCCAGGATGAGTGACGTAGCCGGAGCCTGGATGACCAGGAAGTGGAGGGTCTCCCGGTGTTGGTCAATAGTCATGTGGAGACCCTGAGTTTGGTGGGTGAGAGGGTACGGCATGATGGGCCGGCCGTCCACAGAGGTCACGGGAATGGGTCGGTCGAGGGCGGTGAGGGGTATCTTGAGCCGAGTAACCAGTCCGTGATCGATAAAACACTCCGCAGCCCCAGTGTCTAAAAGTGCCTCCAGTCTGGTCGGGCCTTGGTCCAGGTGGAGGGAGACCGGGAGAGTGGTTCGGTGTGGAGCCGGAAAGGTGGAGACTCCGGGCGGGACAGCTCCTACTCCGACCCGGAGGGACCTTTTCCCGGTCGTTTTGGGCACGTGCCACGGTGGTGACCCAAATCCCCACAGTAAGCGCATCTTCCCTCCTGGTAGCGCCGTGCCCGTTCCTCTGGGGGAAGATGTCCCAGCTGCATCGGCTCCTCCGTCAGTTGGTGAGCCGGCCGGCGGGGTGACGTCCTGGTGTGTATGGGGGCTGACATGGTGCTCGGCCGGTTCAGGATGCAGCGGTCCAGTTGGAGAGCCAGATCCACTGCCAGGTCCAGGGAGGTTGGGACCTCGTGCCCGATCATGCCCTCCCGGATTCTCGGTGACAGTCCCTCCAGGTAAACGGCCTTTAGGGCGGCGTCATCCCACCTCAACCGAGCTGCTGTCGTCCGGAAGCGAGAGGTGTACTGAGCCGCCGTCTGGGAGCCCTGGCGAAGCTGAAGCAGCCGCGTCTCGTCCGAGACCTCGCTGCTGGGGTGCACAAAAGTCTTTTTCATCTCCTTTACAAAAGTCTCATAGTCATTGCAGGCAGGAGATTTCTGATTGTAAAGAGCCGCCGCCCATTCACCGGCTCGACCTGTCAGCAGTGAGGTCAGCAGGGCGACACGAGAGCAGGATGTGGGGTAACGTGCCGGTTGACACTCGAAAGTCATGGCCAGGGTCGCCAACATGCCCTCTGGGGATCCCCTGGTTCCGTCCCACTTCTCTGGAAGGCTGAGGCGTGGTTCCATCCTGCCAGGAACAGCTGCGGTCTGACGTTGCAGAGCGGTGGTCAGCTGGAGTACTAGCTCGGTGAGTGACTCGATCTTGGTGGCTTGGCGATCAGCTATGGCACGGAGCTGGTTCATTTCTGCCGTATGCTGATCCAAGGTTGCGCGCTGTTGAGCCACTTCGGCACGCAGACGCGCGAACTCCGCTGGGTCAACTTTGGGCTCAGTCATCCTGTCAGGTTCGTTGGCAGATCTGAAGCGTGACTGAGAGTTCTGTTGCCCAGACGCGGAGAGACGGAGATAACCGGCGTGGTTATTTCCTGTAGGTGTAGCTTGAGGGTTTAGAGGGCTGGTAAGCCTGGAGACTCGATACAAAGTCTGGTGAGAACGATGACTGAGCAATGAATGAAACTCCGGCACTTCCTTAAGTAGTGTCGGCGTGATGACGTCAGTCGCCACGTTGGTGGCAGGAATGAATGGAATGCAGTCAGCTGGAGGAGTTCGTGACATCTGGTATAAATATATAATAATTTCCTGAACGGCATGCCATACTATATACATTACTTACACATCACAATACATCCCCTCACATCCACTCCATCACATATCATTATTCATATCTTGTCATGCATAATAATTAGTTTTGAAAAGAATAAAATTCCTTTTTAACTGTATACCTGACTGTCTGAATTAATACGTGTGTGTGTGTGTGTGTGTGTGTGTGTGTGTGTGTGTGTGTGTGTGTGTGTGTGGAGGCTTCAAGATGCAGCTATAAACAGACAACAGGGTTTAGGAACCTACATGTAAACAAGGGGGGGGGGGGGGGGTTAACAGTTTGACAAAGATTAGCAAGGTTACAAGGTTATGGAGCATCTACATGGGTCAAGAGAGTGAACAGAAGGTGAGGAGAGCTGAATTCTGAGGAAAAAAAACCCAAATGAAACAAAAACTAAGAAAGCAAAACTAAACACAATGTGTGTCTCAAAAACCCCAACTCCTCTGGTTCCTGGAATCTGTTTTGAATTAAAAGAACTTTTGTTTCTGCTTTGTGTTTCATGAAGTTTATTTTAAACAGTTGTGGAAAAGGTTATCACAGCTAAGCTAGTCTTGGGACCACACAGGCCAATGCACGCTTGACTGTCTGTGTTTGAGAAGACAAGCTAACTTACACACACCCACACACACACACGCACGCACGCACGCGCATTCCACACACGGTTTGATCCCTTTTCAGCCAGACAAAAGGGATCGGCCATTTTGGGTTTTCAAAACTACCTCCATCTTGGGTTAGTCCACCTCAGATTGTCACGTCACATTATTTTTTCATTGTTTCATTGTTTGTTGATAAAATAGGTTGGTTGATATTGATTGGCTAATCGCTTTGGGAGGAGCTGAAGTGATCATATTAGTTAATAAATGTTATTGCCAATTAAGTTTTGTCTCAAGTGAATTTGTTTGTGTGATATGGAATTATGACTGCTACCCGTTAAAGAATTTACAAACTTTAGACAGATCGATTAGAGGTGTGGATTCATTTTCCCCTGTTAAAATGGAATGGTGCCCCGAGGACATCCAAAGATATCCTAATTACATAATAAATCGGTAAATATTTCCATATTTACGAATTTATTGATGAATCCAAAAAGTAAGTAAAGTCTACAAATTATTCGTTGGTTAATAATCACAACACTAGTTAAACTGAATCTTTTAATAACCCTATTGTTGGTAGGCTTCCTTAACTGTCATAAAGGTATTGTCAGAAAAAGGGGTTTAAAATCATAATTATGAAATACAAAGTCATAATCATAGGTAAAACTTTTTAAATTCACATTGAGGGCATGGCACACTAACAAATACTAACAGTATTTAATTAATATAAAAACTAAAATGGGTGATTTATGTAGCTTTTTAACTTAATTGCAATCATTATTACAGTTTTTTTCGATTGCTAAAACACGTTTTTCAAAACTGTACGTTTCTTTTCAAAACTGCACACACAAAACCCCAAACATAACACACAAATTGCTAAACCGTTGGCTTCCCTTTGCAACAAAACCCTGCCATCACACATCGTAACATGTTCCCAAAATGGAACACGTGTTTTCATTGGTAAACACTGCCACATTTTCACATGACACACACATACCATTCATTGCTTAAACACAAGTAGTCTTTGGGTGAACACTACCAAGCATGGAAAGAACACTGAAGAGCAAAAATGAAAACACAATTGTCTAAATGGAACACAATGAATTACACACTGAATGTATGACAGTGCCCACTTTTCTCTGAGACAAACATTAGACATCACACAAATTTTGAGACAAAACATTTTATTTTTACAGTTCCCCCCCCCCCCCCCCCCCCCCCCCCCACACACACACACACACACACACACACACACACACACCCTCACACCCTCCCCCCGGCCACCCCCACCCCACAAATTTTGAGACAAAACATTTTATTTTTTACAGTAGCCACTTCCACCCCCTCTCCCATTCAAGCATAATCATGGGGTATCATGCCTCTGGTCTCTGTCTGGCCAGAGGGTCTCATCAACATCACAGGCGATGTCCTCCTGGTCCAAACAGCGCTGGAAGTACCACCTTGAATGCCTCATGAAGCCCTGACAGGCCTCAAAGGCCACATCTCTATAAGCCTCCTCCATGGCTTGAAGCAGTGGGACCTTGCTCTGTGGATTCCTTTCGTACACCTTCCACCTCCAGGCTGAGAAAAACTCCTCAGTGGGATTGAGGAAGGGGAATAAGGTGGAAGGTATAAAATGGAAAACCGTGGGTGGTCCTGAAACCACTCATACACCTGGGTAGCCTTGTGGAAACTTACTTTTATGCTGCAGTCCCTGATTGCAAATTGCTCACCCGACATGAAAGTTTAGAGATTTGAATATTTGTGTGCTGTTGATTGAAGCTTTGAGAGTTTGTTTGACAAGTGTGTTTAAACGTGAAAATTGTGTGCTGTGTTTTGACAGCATGGTGATGTGAAATTGACATCAGAGTGTAAAGGAGGACAATCAGAGAGCTAATATTATAAGGCAATCTTAAGTAGTGATAAATGGAGTCAGGCGATTGGGAATTAAAGTAGAGGTTGTGAAATGTGTGCCTCATTTTTGATTTTTGAGTTTTAGCAATCGAAAAAAAACTGTAATAAATTTGCCAGTCACAGCCTAAGAGGATCTTTTCTGCGGAAGTTTCTCCTGAAATGGAAACTAGATAATTGCAGAAAATAATTTCATTATCGTTTCAATAAAATCATTAAGGAAGAGAGTGAGTGAGTGAGAGAGAGAGAGAGAGAGAGAGAGAGAGAGAGAGAGAGAGAGAGAAGAGAGAGAGAGAGAGAGAGAGAGAGAGAGAGAGAGAGAGAGAGAGAGAGAGAGAGAGAGAGAGAGAGAGAGAGAGAGAGAGAGAGAGAGAGAGAGAGAGAATGTGATGTTCTTGGTAAATCCCCTCCTCCAGAGAGGAGGAAATGACCATTTCTCACTTCAGGAGAAATGAGCGCATAAAGGCACACAACTGCACATTTTCCTCACTGTGCAGCTGAAAGTCACCATGGCAGTTCTGCAGCTCCTCTTCCTCACCTTCATCACAGGTAAGCCCAACAGGTTGGTGTTTGATTGGTTTATGATCAGAGTGATGTTTTAAACTTGAAGATTCCAGGAAAACATTTGCGTGATGAAGGTTTGCAAAATGACCAAAATAATTTCCAGCTGCATGATTCTTTCACTTGGATTAATAAATAACAATAGACATATTTCTTTGACACTGTTTAGGTTTCCAGTGAAGATGCAGATGCTTTATTTATTTATTTTTGCTTCAGATTACAAATGCTCAAACCCAGCACCTACAAGTCACAACATGAAGCCTAGGCTTGGTTAAAACTGCCCTTTTATTTCACACCAAATAACTCTGACAGCTCTTGCAGCCAGTTCTGAGGAAAACTGCTGAAAGAGAATCTCACGTTCAAAAAGTCGACCCTTCCAAGAAAATGGGATGTGGTTAAGACACATGCCATTGCAGCAGTCACATCTAAGCCCTGGAGAAAACTGAGCGTCTGTCCGTCAGCTTTGGTCTTTTCTTGGCTTTAGTTACGTTTGCTGTAAACATCACATCAGTGTGGAAAAAATGGAGACTCTCATGGCATCTGTTTTCATACCTGATGCTATTTTCAAACCTAAAAAAATGCACTGAGAGGGTTCCTCTTCAAAGTAAACCCACAGAATGGTGCTGAATATACACATTTTGTGCTGTTTCCACTTCTTGTTCTTGCTGTGGTTAAAAGTCATCCAAGTCATAAGGTTGCCTAATGTGATTACCTAATCTATCAGATGACAACATTTAGAAAAAATCTTCTAATATTACTGACTTTTATTAAAATGGTAAAAATACAAAGGAGGCTCAAAATGAGGCACGTGGCTTGTTTGTAAATGAAGATATTGAGACCAGCCTTCAACAGGACGAGGTTTTGTGGTTTTCTTTGTGTGAATCTGAGCAGTTATAAGTTTCTTTTTCAAGCAATACATCTTTATTCAGTTTCAGTTTTAGTGTCAGATACCAACGTTTTGGTTTCTTGGATATAAATCTCCTTTACAAAATACCATAAGCCACGGGCGCTCACAGAAAAGGGATCAAAGAACACAACTTTATGCCTTGATGCTTTTCTACCTCACCATTTAGAGCCACAACCAGGTAGAATCCACTTAAATATGAAATGGCAGTCAAACAAGGAAATGGGAACAGTTGGAAGCAGAAAGAAATCTGAAATCATCAGGATTCAAAAGAAAAGGGCGTTTCAGAGAAGGAAATTAATTTGATGTTCATTTTTGCAGGTGTGTGTTCCCAGACACCGAAGGATATTTATGTGAAGGCAGGAGAGATGGTGACGCTGCACAGTGAAGTGTGTAAAGTGAATGATACTGCAACACTCTGGAAACAAGAAACTGACCAGATCATATATGTGTACAGCAACATGTCTGCAGCTGAGCAGAAACGCATGGGCGTGGTGCTTTATAAGAACTGCCTCGTGATTCTTAGAGCCTCCGGGAACCACACGGGGAATTACTCGTGTCATTATCTCAGGTGAGATCCAGACAGGCATGGACTTGGAAAAGTAGAATATGGAGCAAAAGTCCTTTAATTTCAATAATTCAGCTTAAACTGAGAGATCGTCTAAAGGCTCAGGAACCCTTTGCAGATGTTGATCCCTTCATAATATTCTAATTGAATTTTGATGTGGGGTTTTCATCAGCTGTAAGCCATAATCATCACAATTTTAGCAAATAAAGTCTTTAAACCCTAACTCTCTCATGTATTAGTTTTACCCTTTAAACTGAATTACTGGAAAAAAAAAGAACTTTTGCTCCACATTCTAATTTTTCAAGTTTCATCTGTCTTTGAACAACCTTCATTTAGAGAAATAGAGATTTGCTTTGATGAGACTCATGAGACATAGTCACATCATGGGTAGTCACAGTGGACAGTTTAAAAATGGGTTGCTGTTGTCCAAAACAACTCAAATATATGTAAAAAAAATTAAATTAACTTAGTTGATGCAAAATCAACTAAACTTTTAACACTTTTGTCTGGTTTGGAATACACACTTATTCTGGTGGGAAACTAAACAGAATATACCCATAAGAAGTGAGAATACTACAAGAATACACTAACTATGCAGACGCTTAGAGGTTTGGAAACAGAGGTGCTCATAAATGGTACCCATTCTTCCCAAAGAAAAATGCACACACAAGGTTCCCCAGCTGCTCCTCGCTGCCCAAGCAGCAAAATGTGGGTACTTACGACAGAGTCGCCCGACATGCTACAGGGGAGCTACCACTACACCTTGCATAAATAAAAATTTTTGAAGAAAGTATGTGTCCCCTTGCTTATAAATGAGCATGCACCACAGTGGTATGTTAGAGATTTGCTTATATTTTTTATGGCAAGAATTTGCTTTAGCTGACTAGCAGTTAGCTTGTCCATCCAGCCACAACTAATCTCTGTTTCTCCAGCAAGTCAAAACATTACCTGCTCATAACGAATGCACAAATAAACAAGTTTAAAGGTCTGAACTAATGGTTTGCTGTTTTCTCAAATTCTAATAAAAATCCCTAACGTGATCATCAGTTTGATGGTTAATTTTGGTGAATTTACAGGAGTAACCGCAGCCAAAGGTTTACACTGACCGTGTACACGCCACAATCCAAAGAATATGATGAAAAGAACCAGTTCTCTGACTTATGTTACACACCAGGCTCCTGCCAGATGTTTTGCCCTAGTGTCAACACCCCTCCTAAGGATTTCAAACCAAATGGCACAACCTGGCACACGGTAAGAAAAGCAGCAGGTTTATGTGTGCACATGAGATTTAAACATGTTTTACTTCCCTCTGACTTCCAGTGACAGGAATATTGTTTTTACTTACAGATTTTACTTTTTTATTCCAGGAGAACGGTGAGCCGTCATCAGGTTACTTCAGCAGCGTTGAAGAAAAAGACAGTGGGGTCTACATTTGCACACGGTCCTACGCATATTCTGGTCAAATATACAATATGACCTTTACAGTGATACTAGATGTCCAAAGAGGTATAACAGAAACAAATGCTCTCACTGTATTTTATTAGATCGTATTTTAGTTCATCTATTAATTCAAATGCAAATAAAATGTCGTTTTAATCAACAGAAAAACCCGTGAAAAATTTGGGAATCTCTTTTCCAAACGACGGTCAGGTGTTTGAAGTAGAAGTTGGTGAGTTTTTATTATGTAGCGCATGCAAGACCCTCTCTCTCTCTCCCTCCCTCCCTCTCTCTCTCTCTCTCTCTCTCTCTCTCTCTCTCTCTCTCTCTCTCTCTCTCTCTCTCTCGTAATCTGAAGAAGATGTGATGAGCAACAGTTTTCTACATTTTCCAAAGTGTCTTCTAGACAAGTATCCTAAAAATGAAAAATAAAAGGCAGCTTAAGTCCAAGGAAAAACTTGAGACTGCCGAATTATTCTCATTACCTAATTTTTAAAGAGCACAAGAATGTCTCGCTCGCTATAGACTAAAGTAAAGACATGATGAAGACTCGGGAGTTCTGCTCATTTTTACCTTTAATTCTTTTCTGCAGGTAAGAGAGCTGAGATACCTTGTAAAGCTTTAACAGATTCCACCCTTGACCCCGGTTCACCGTTCTGGCTGAGTGGAAGTTCGTTTGTGGAGGAGGACAACAGAAACGCCAGAGTTTATTTCAGTTTCTCGTTGTAAGTGCAGAAGCAACATTTTAGGTGGATTACATCTGAGTTAGCAAAACAGACTAGCGAAATAAAAAATAATAGCCTTTTTGTTTTTATTTTCAGCGATAACAGAACAGAACAGATGACAGCAACTTTAACCTTTAAAGAAGTAAAGGAGGAAGACTTGTCTACAAAATTTACCTGCAAACTTGAAAGTGAAATAAAACCAGCCTTTGCCACTATCACCCTCACCAAAATAGGTTGTTTCACCTAATCTAATCCTCAGTACTGATGTTTTTATAACGATTAAAGGAATAGATGATGAGCTAATAAATCCTAGCTTTGTTCTCTCTCTCTGAATAATATCCCTGCAGCTCAGCCCTCGTACACGGCTCTGGCTGTGTGTTCGATCGTCGTTGTGTTGGTGATGGTTCTGACCGTTGTTGTCTACAGCAAGTTCAAAGTGGACATCACCCTCTTCTTTAGGGATGCTCTTGGATGTCGAAGCATCACTTCAGGTGAGAGCTAAGGTTCTGAATGTTTACACACACACACACACACACACACACACGCGCGCACACGCACACGCACACACACACACACACACACACACACACACACACACACACACACACACACACACACACACACACACACAGTATTTCAGTAATTAAAAAGCATTTTAAACATGTATGATGATGTGTGTGTGCTTTTGTGTGTGTTTGTTTGTTTGTGCATCCGTGAATTGTGTAGATGGAAGAAGCTATGATGCATTTTTGATGTGTTACATGAGTGACACTGATAAAGGACTAAATGAAGATGACAGAAGACAGCTGGAAAACACTTTGGAGGAGCGGTTTGGGTACACGTTATGTCTTTATGATCGAGACATTTTACCAGGACAGGGTAAGTTCAAAGAACTTCATGAGTAAATCAGTAGTGTCCAGTCCTGGTCTACAGGGATCATGCTCCAACTGTGCTCATTCAGTGGTTGAGTTGCCTGCTCCGTTTGCTCTCAAATTCTCCATCAGCCTGGTAATGCTCAGCTGTAGCACAGTAGGGTAGTCTAGCTCGTTCTAGTGGGTATACTCTGACCCCTTAATTTGCACCTCACCACGCCGAATGCTTGGGCTTGATGACCAGGTGTTTGTGTCCAGAACACTGAGATCATGCAGGATTTCACCTTCAAATCATGTTGTTGACCAGACTTTTGAGGAATTGTTTGGCATTAATTGGTGTGAGTTTTGCATTTGAAAAAAGGGTAATGATCCAAAATGTCCAGAAGCCTGTGCTTGCAAAGTCTCTTCAGATTTCTTTCATGGAGAGTCTTTGAATGATGCCAGGGCATGGATGGTGCGCCTTGGAAACTTAGCTGCTTTCTAGAGTTGCTGAGACAGGTTTCAGAGTTCAGACAGCATGTTGTACATGAGCCCGAGTTCACACGGGAATTCTTTGCTTTGCGTACGACATGCCAGGCCTCTGTACGTTTGCCTCTCTTTATATCCCACAGTATTTTCAAAGCATCCATTCAATGCTTCATATGACCTACATACAGTCTTTAATAAAAGCTACTGGTGGCCCACCCATCATGTACTCATTTTTAGGACTTCTGAACCCTCTTCTTGTACTGCCTCTAGACGTTCTGATGCATTCTCATTAGACTGACTGTAGATACTGTGGATATTCTCCATTAACACCTTGAAATGATTGCCTGAACGTCATCCACAGCATCAGAAACAGCCAGTACCAAACGGTGATTCATGCAATGCCACATGAAAAGATCAGGGAACCTTGCAGTGAGCCTGTTTACCACACCCCTTAGGAATCATTACGGACATTTTTGTCGATTTGGGCAGTTTTTCTTCATTCGTCTAGACACCATTTAAGCAGTATTTGTTGCATATGGTACAATTTTTTGTTGTTAAATTTCTTTTAACAATTATCAAAATTTAATATGCAGTTCTGAAAGTAGATCAATGCTATTGAAGCACTGCTGGACAAAAACGGCCATTCTTAAAAGTGGCTTTTTTTTGTTGCTTTTTTATCATAAACAACTTCAGCACTGCTCAAACCTGTAAAATCTTCAGTCATTTCGAGGATTTTAACCTTGACACGCCAGTTTGACTACTCAATGTCATTGCTGTAATTTATGGGAGAAATACAAAAAAAAACTGTTATTTAAAAAAAAACGCCTTTTCTGCCTGGGGCATTTATTACAAACCAGTCTTGGTTATGCTATGGAAAATCTAAAACATTACATTTTTTTGCTTCAATAGTTTCTGTGTCAACAAATTTAAAACTGGCTACCCTCTTGTGCTTCTTCAGGACAAAAACATCCCATTGACTTCCATTCAAACCATAGTTTTTGACCCTGTAGCATCTGCAAACAATACCCATGCATTCTGTGATATTAAATGGTAAATGGTCTGTATTTGTATAGCACCTTCTTAGGGTTCTACGACCCCCCAAGGCGCTTCACAACACAATCAGCACAATCAGTCATTCGCCCATTCACACACACATTCACACGCTGGTGGGAATGAGCTATGATGTGGCTACAGCTGCCCTGGGGTGCACTGACAGAGGTGAGGCCTGCTGAACACTGGCGCCACTGGTCCGTCCGACCACCGGCAGGCAAGGTGGGCCAAGTGCCCTGCCCAAGGACACAACAGCGGCATTCTCTAGTTGGAGCAGGGATCGAACCTGCAACCTGCTTTACCATTTTTGATTCTTTTTTTTAACACAGAAAAAGTTTCTCTTTACCTTGCTGACAGTTTCGTTTGCGGCTGCAAACATCCTCAGAGCTGACGCTGATGGTGGCGTCACTTCCTACTCCGTTTATCTGCGGGCAGCAGAGGACGTTGTCGCCCTCTGCTGCCCGCTCTCCCCTCTCCGATGATGCAATCCCATGCACGGTCCAATGTGTAGACCCCATCGTCTCTGTTCATAGTCACACACTCTGTTCATAGTCCCACATCCACGTCTCCTTATCTCCCTAGCTTCTTTTATCCATCTTTTGTATTTCTGTTGTTCGGTGTTTATGATCCTTGTGTGTTCCCAGTCCATTACATGGTTTTCTCTTATGCAGTGATCTGTTATGGCCGACTTCTTTATTGTGCTTTCTGCTTCTTGTTCGGCTGCTCTTGTGTGTCTTCGACTTGTTTCTTTCTCGCACTCCTTTCTATGTTCTATTGTTCGTGTGTTGAGTTGGCGTCCGGTTTCTCCTATGTATGTTTTATTGCAGAGTTTGCATGGGATTTCGTAAACGACTCCACATTTAAGTCCAGCTGATATCTTGTCTTTTGGGTGCACTAGTCTGTTTCTAACTGTTGTGTATGGTTTTGTTGGTGTGTTTATGTTGTGTTTTTTCATTGTTGCTCTTATTTTTTCTGTTATGCCTCTGATGTATGGTAGGGTTATTACTGGTTTTTGGTTCTTGTCTTTCTGGGTTTCTGGTTCATTGCTTTGGTTGTTCTTTTCTTTCTGTTGTTGTTTGTTGTTTTCCTTTGTTTATCGCCCATACCAGATATTCGCAGGTCTTTAAAGCATGTTGTATGTGTTTGTCCTCTTGTTCACCATCTCTTTATTCAGTTAACATGTTTGCTCGGTGATATAATGTTCTGATTACTGACATTTTGTGTATGGTGGGGTGATCTGATGTCCATAATAAATATTGGTCTGTGTGTGTTGGTTTCCTATATGTGTTTATGTTTAGGGTCCCGTCGGTCTGCCTGCTTATTTTTTTGTCCATAAATGCTATGCTGCCTTCGGTTTCTGACTCATATGTGAACTTTATGTTGCCTGTGTCGTCAATGTTATTCAAATGTTGTGTTAGTGTTTCTGTTTGTCCTTTTGGTATGATTTCCGGTATGTCGTCTACACAGCGTTTCCATAATTTTATTTTGCAGTGTGGGGAGGCAGTGGCTATGGCTTTTATGGCTACTTATTCAACATGTCTCCTAAGACAGAGTTCACCAGTGACTGAAACACAGCAGGAGCATTCGTCAGGCCGAAAGGCATTACCAGATACTCTAAATGCCCTAACGGCGTTTTAAACGCCGTCTTCCACTTATCTCCCTGACAGATTTGCACTAAGTGGTAGGCGTTCCTGAGATCCAAGAGGCTAAAAATAGTGGCGTCCTGAATGGGCTCAAAAGTGGAGGTTAACAGAGGCAGAGGATACTTGTTTTTTACCTTTATCTGGTTTAACTCCCTGTAGTCAATACACGGCCTGAGAGTTCCTTCCTTCTTTGGAACGAAGAAAAACCCTGCTCCCAAAGGTGAGGTGGATGGCCTGATAAGACCAGCTGCCAGACTCTCCTGGATATAACTCTCCATACTCTCCCTCTCAGGCTTGGAAAGGTGATACGGTCGACTGGAGGGAAGTGGAGCTCTAGGTAACAGCTCAATGCTGCAGTCAAATGGTCTGTGTGGGGGAAGAGAAGATGCACAGTCCTTGCTAAATACCTGACGGAGGTCATGGTAGGCCGGCGGTACATTGGAGAGATCAATCTCTTCTGCAGGAGAGGTTGTGGGGTTATTGAGGGTTGGCGAGGCAGAACGCAGGCAGGCTAGAGAACACTCTGGGCTCCATCTCTCTATCTGACTGGTTCTCCAGTTCAGCTGGGGGTTGTGTCGCTTCAACCAGGACCTGCCCAGCACCAACGGAGACTGGGGAGGGGGAAAACCAAAAAATGCCAGACTTTCTGTGTGGTTACTGTGTGTCTTAACTGCAGGGGAATGGTTTGGTGAGTGATGGTGGACAAAGCTCTGTCATCCTCATGACAATTTCTTTTGCCATGTTGTATGTTGGTGTACCTTTGCTGTCTACTATTGGTCTAAGTGGGGTGTTTTGTTTGTGTATTTTTGGAGTTCCATAGATTCTTGGTATTATGTTTGCTGTATGAGTCCAGTGTTTGTACATTTTTTCTGTTAATTTGCCTTTTTCTTGTAGTGGTTTCAGTAATTTTTTCATGTTTTTCTTAATGCTTTCTGTTGGGTCTTTTTAAAGTATTTTGTGTGTATTTTTGTCCTCTAACATCTGTTTCATATGTTGTTTATATTTTTCTTTGTCCATAACTACTGTAGTTCTTCCTTTGTCTGCCGGCAGAATAATTATCTGTTCATTTTTGGATAAGGCTGTCATGGCTGGTTGTTCTTCTTTTGTAATATTGCTGTGTTGAATTTGGCTGTTTTTTAATATCCCAACTATGTTATTTCTGAGTTCTGCTTTCTTCCCTCACCTGTGATCTGTTGACATGCTAGTTCTGTTGCTACAATAAATTCTACATATGGTATTTTCTTTGGTGTTACTGCAAAGTTTAAACCTTTTTTAATATGCTTTCTTCTGCTTCAGTTAGTTTGTATTGTGAAAGGTTACATACCCATGAGCTTTGTGTGGTGTTATCTTGCATTTCTTTTCTCTTTTTCTTGTTGATGAGTTTGTTTAACTTCTTTATGTGTCTTTCTTTTACTTTTGTGAACTCTTTTTCCTGTTTTTCCATCATGTGCCCTTTAATTTGTTCCTCCGTATTTTCATCAAGTTTGTAATCCCTTTTTAAGTCCAGGTGTCTTCTTTCCAGTTCGTTTTTCACTTGCCTCTGTTTGGTTGCGACATTTCTTATCCTTTCTTTGAGTAGTGCTCTCTGTGCTCTTTCCATTATGTATTGTGCTGTCTTGGTCTGGATCGGTGTTTTCAGCTGTAGGCTTGTTGGCGTGATGTTTTCGTCCTGGCATCTTAAATCGAAGTGAAGGTGGTTCCTTAGACGTGTGCGTTTTTGATGTAAACGTTCCAAACGGCGGAAGTCCTTTGTTCCTTGTTGTCCTTATTTTTCTTAAAGAGGACAAACACATACAGCACGCTTTAAAGACCTACGGATACCCGACATGGGCAATAAACAAAGGAAAACAACAAACAACAACAGAAAGAAAAGAACAACCAAAGCAAAAAACCAGAAACCCAGAAAGACAAGAACGAAAACCAGTGATAACCCTACCATCCATCAAAGGCATAACAAAAAATAAGAGCAACAATGAAAAAACACAACATAAACACACCAACAAAACCATACACAACAGTTAGAAACAGACTGGTACACCCAAAAAACAAGATACCAGCAGGACTTAAATGTGGAGTCATTTACGAAATCCCATGCAAACTCTGCAATAAAACATACGTAGGAGAAACCGGACGCCAACTCAACACACGAACAATAGAACATAGAAAGGAGTGCGAGAAAGAAACAAGTCGAAAACACACAAGAGCAGCAAAACAAGAAGCAGAAAGCACAATAAAGAAGTCAGCTTGAACAGATAACTGCACAAGAGAAAACCATGTAAAGGACTGGAACAACACAAGGATCATAAACACCAAACAACAGAAATACAAAAGATGGATAAAGGAAGCTATCAAGATAAGAAGACATGAACAGAGACGATGGGGTCTACACATTGGATCGCGCATGGGATTGCATCATCGGAGAGGGGAGAGCGGGCAGCAGAGGACGTTGTTGCCCTCTGCTGCCCGCAGATAAACGGAGTAGGAAGTGACGCCACCATCAGCGTCAGCTCTGAGGATGTTTGCAGCCGCAAACAAAACTGTCAGCAAGGTAAAGAGAAACTTTTTCTGTGTTTTAAAAAAGAACCAAAAATGGAATTAGAAGTACACAGCAAGAACATACCAAACCTGATTTACCTCCTGAGCTCCTGCTGTCCTTTTTAAGGTTGCATTTTTAAGAAAATTAGTCAAATTTGTGATTTTTTACTATTCACCCCCAAAAATCAGTCGTCTCTCCATAAGTGGCCGAGGCGGGAAACCTTGACATTTTTCAAGACTTTCTGCTGCTAGGACAGCACAAAAGACAATGTTACATGCAAGGCCAATGCAATCTTTGTTTTGTACAGATGTTTTCTAGCCAGAAGATAATTTGCAAACCTAGTCGTGGAGCACTATGAATGCACTGAAATCAAAAGTTCACCATGACCTCTGACAAACAAATAAAGCGCCGTTTCACTCTCTTAATGAACTTTAAAGTGTGGAAAACAAAAACAATTATGCATATGCACCTGGCTGGAGCTCAAGCACAACTAAACTCTTTGTAGTCTGATTATCTGGTCATTTCAATTCTGTGACAGCCAAGGATGAAGGGGCAACTTGTTGACCTAACAATTGCTGAAACACTGAAATGGTGTCATTTGATTGTTTTCTTTTCATGTATTTCTTCTCCATGTTTCCTCTTCACTGTCTTGTGTTAGACTCGTTCAACTAGTTGTCAAAGAATAAAGCCAACAAAAACAACTAACTGTGCCATAGCAAACATCACACTTGACGGACACCCATGTGGTCCAAAAGGGTTTGTTTCGTAAAGGCTGACTGCGGATGGGATATGAAATTTATGTCACAGACAGAGTCATAGTGATATGCATCTTTGCACATTTATCAGTGGTTATAAGGAAATTCTGGACCGTTTCAAGCAGTTATGCAACATACTTGCATATCACATAGATTACCCAACTGCGTTAGCAAAAAGTGATAAGCTGGGTAGATACACTCCTCTTCCACTTCAAAAAGAAGCCAAGGTGATTTGGGTATTTGGTCACAATGCCTCCTGGACACCTCCTTGGGGAGGTGTTTTGGGTATCTCCCCCAGGTCATGGACAGACATTTAAAGCATGCAGGATAGTGACCCAGGAGGACAGGTTTGGACCATATGGAGTACTTAGTAAAAACACCATTTTAATCTTACATTTTTGCTTCTTGCAGCTGTAGCAGAAACTGTGTTAGAAAGCACAGAGCAGAGCCGAGCTGTGGTTTTGGTTCCCTGCTCTTCAGATCCTGGACCAGGAATTGGCTTGTTGAGTGCCATCCATGAAGCCCTTGTGGAACGGAAGACTCGCTTGATTTTGATCAACACCAAGCAAACAGAAGGATCAAAATCAGACTCATTACCAGAGGCCTTGCAGCTTCTTAGTAAGGCTGGAGACTGTGTGACCTGGAAGGGCAGTCCGCCTTCATCGACGTTCTGGAAGGAGCTACGTTATCACTTACCAGCACCACAGCATGCACCTAGAAGAACACACCGACTTCTATCACAAACAGTCTACGAAGTTCCCTCATTGTAAACCTCCTGCATAGTCTAATGTTGGATTTGATTATTTATACTTCACATAGTGTAAGATAACATATCATAAAAGTAGAAATGTCTTCACTATGCTTTAAAGTGGCTTGTCTTTACCATCTGTAATCTTTATAAATCCAGTAATGTGAAGTGTGCCCAAATGGAATGACAAACTGTAAAAAACAATCATTTCTGAGTTTTGTTTCCCCAGTCAGTACTCTCCATTAGAGGCTGATAGTAGATGATCCTCTTGGGGAGATACTTCTCTGCATTTGACCCGTCAGGCTGTGGTTCGTAGAGTTGAACTGGTGTTAACCCTGTTAGGTAATTTTATCTCCCATCCAGGATTACCTTAGGGAAAGTTCAACACGCAGGGGTTATAATAATCAGCTGATCAATAACCAATACCAATAATCAACCAACAACAATCAATTTAGACTTTGCAAAGTGGAGAGAGATCAATGATACACACCAGGCGGTAGTCAGTTTGCTCTCATCAGACAAAACCCTCAGAAAGCATTTATTAAGGCAGACACACAAAAAGATAAACGCACACACAATACACACAAACATTTGAGGTTCTCACAGACTCTCACACAGGAAGACACTCCAGGTGCAGTTTCTAAAACAATAAAGCTGTCTCAAGGGAGTTCTATTGATAAGGGGGACTGGGACAGGTACCAGGCGAGGTCAAAACCTTCCAACACGTCCTCCCTGTGAGAACTGAAAAGGCCTGTCTCTTACCCGAGTAAAACAAATGGATGAAGCTTCGTTTAAAACACCAGATGTTACACAGTCAAGTCATTACAATACATGTTTTTATCCAACAAACCCTGTGAGCTCCGAGCACAGCTACAGCAACCAGCAGCATGGTGATTAAAGTCTGTTTATGGTTTTTCTCAGAAGTTCGGATTTCTTATCTTGCATTATGTTGCACAACTCCTGTCTTCTTCTTCTTCAGCTGTTACTTGTTTTACTGCATGTTCCACTACACTGAACACAAGACAGGTTTGAACTGTGAAGCTGTTTATTATTCATATTTTATATCAAAATTTTCACTAATCTGTTTCCTGAAGTTTTTCACCAAAATAACATCCATTTTCTTCTTTGTGTCTAAGAAGCAAGACCCTCATTTTGTCCCTTAAATGACCATAGAGTACTATTATTTTTGAAAATATTTTCAAAAGTAATAGTATTAGAGTGGGCTGCAGTTGACTTCTTCAGTGGTGCATGCTGGTTCTGTAAAAATGTTTGTGAGCAGAACTCTCTCTAAATGGAATGTGTCACACCCTGTCTTGTCTCCCCGTTCTGTTTAGCCATGTGTCTCTGTTAATTGCTCCCACCTGCCTCTCGTTTTCCACTCACCCAAGCTCCCAGCCCTCATGTATTTAAACCCCTTCAGTCCTGTGTCTCAGGTTGGTTCATTGTTTCAGTAGTCCAGCGTGTTCTGTTATTAAAACCCTTTTATTAAACCGTTCCTGCTTGTCTGCCTGCCTGCCTTTGCACCCGCATGTGGATCCTGCCTCCGCTTCACTCACCAGCACGTGCGTGACAGAATGAACCAACCCAGTAAAGGATCCAGCAGGGAGGTTCTTCCTTGGGGGCGTTTGCTCCAGTTTTTAACCGCTGATCACCGGCCGGCTTCTCCTCCTCTGGCCTCGTCTCGCCACCGACGCCGAACCCTGGCTGCGACGATCCCCTCCGCCCTCCCGGAGCTAGATGTGAGGTTGGACCTGGAGACACAGCGAGACCGCTCCTGCTACGTGGGCACCAGACTGGCTGTGTGCTCCCCCGGAGCTGGCCCACGGCGTTGGGAAAGATGCCGGGCTCCACCGTCACCCCTGGTCCCGGGACGGAGCCGCGAGCTTGCTGCAGCTCCGGCTCGGCGCACCAGCTTGGACCCGCCCCCAGTCAAACCAGCAGTCCCGTCTCCGGTCCAATCAGCACCTCCGTCATCTGCAGGCGGAGGGACCACGCCTACAGCCCAGCTGACAGAGCTCGCCGGCCTCCAGGCGGAGCTTGGCCGGATCCGTCAGCTCGTCAGCCTCCAGGAGTTCCAGCTGGACACCCTATCCTCCCCGAATTACCAGGAGAAGGTTCCGGTCCAGTCTGCAGCTCCCTCATCTCTTGGCCAAAGGATCGGGCCCGCAATCCACCCAGCAGAGCTCACCAGTCTCCGAGCTGAGCTGGTCCAACTCCATCAGAGCCTCAGTCTCCAGGAGCTCCAGCTGGACAATCTATCCTCCCTGCTCTCCCAGTTTCCGGCACCACCAGTTCAGTCAGCTCCTGTCCCAGCGGTGGTCCCGGAGGTCGCACCGCATCCAAATCCAGAAGGTGGTCCCGGAGGTCGCACCGCATCCGGTCCAGCCTGTCCAAGCGGTCCCGTCTGTAGCAACTCCTCCTCCACTCCAGAAGCCGGCGGTCCAGAAGCCAACGCCCCCGGACCAGAAATCAACGGTCCAGAAGCCGACGGTCCAGAAGCCGACGGTCCAGAAGCTGACGGTCCAGAAGCCGACGCCCCCGGACCAGAAGTCGACGGTCCAGAAGACGACGCTCCAGAAGACGACGCTCCCGGACCAGAAGTCGACGCCCCCGGACCAGAAGTCGATGGTCCAGAAGACGATGGTCCAGAAGCCGACGCCCCCCGGACCAGAAGTTGACGCCTCCGGACCAGAAGTCGCTGGAGGTTGACGCCCCCAGTCCTGAAGTCGACGCCCCTTCCAGTTCTGTGGTCGATGCCCTTTCCAGTCCTGAGGTAGACGCTCTCTCCAGTCCAGAGGTCGACGCTCTCTCCAGTCCGGAGGTCGATGCTCTCTCCAGTCCAGAGGTTGATGCTCTCTCCAGTCCAGAGGTTGACGCTCTCTCCAGTCCAGAGGTCGACGCTCCTTCGTGCCCAGCGGTCAATGCTTCTTCGTGTCCAGCAGTCGACGTTCCTTCGTGTCCAGTGGTCAACGCTCTTTCGTGTCCAGAGGTCGACGCTCCTTCATGTCCAGAGGTCGACGCTCCCTCGTGTCCAGAGGTCGACGCTCCCTCGTGTCCAGAGGTCGACGTTCCCTCGTGTCCAGAGGTCGACGCCCCCTCGTGTCCAGAGGTCGACGCCCCCTCATGTCCAGAGGTCGAAGCCCCCTCGTCAAATCAAATCAAATCACCTTTATTGTCACGTCACATGTGCAGGTACACTAGTACAGTACGTGCGAGTGAAATTCTTGTGTGCGAGCTTCACAGACACAGACTTGTGCACAACAAAAAAAAATAAAAATTAAAAAATAAAAAATAAAAACCCGACAAGATATATAATATACAGAAGTTGGTATGTACAAACAGTGGCATTAATATACTGTGTGGCGTGTGTAATGTTGAAGTTCCAGTAGTGAGGGTGAGATGTCTATGTAGTGTTCAGCAGTCTGATGGCCTGATGAAAAAAGCTGTCTCTCAGCCTGCTGGTTATGGACCGGATGATACAGAACCTGATTCATGATGGAAGTAGTCTGAACAGTTTATGGCTGGGGTGAGTTGAGTCCTTGATGATCCTCCCCGCTTTCCTCAGGCACCGCTTCCTGTAGATGTCTTGGAGGGAGGGAAGCTCACCTCCCATTTTCCTTTCAGCACACCGCACTACTCTCTGGAGAGCTTTGCGGTTGTAAGCGGTGCTGTTGCCATACCAGGTGGTGATGCATCCGGTGAGGATACTCTCAATGGCACAGCAATAGAAGGTCCTGAGGATGCGGTGGCTCATGCCGAACCTTTTCAATCTCCTGAGAAAGAAGAGGCGTTGCTGTGCCTTTTTTACTGTATTGTTTGTGTGCACTGACCACGTGAGATCCTCAGCCAGATGAACACCAAGGAAATGGAAGCTGCTCACTATCTCCACCGCGTCACCTTTGATGGTGATGGGGGTGTGTACTCCTCTGCACCTCCGAAAGTCCACTATTAACTCCTTTGTCTTCGCGACATTGAGGATGAGATGGTTGTCTTGGCACCAGTGGGTCAGGGTGCTGATCTCCTCCCTGTAGGCCGTCTCATCATTGCTGGTGATGAGACCCACCACCGTGGTGTTGTCCGCAAACTTCACAATGATGTTGGAGTTTCTAGTGGCTGTGCAGTCGTAGGTGTAGAGTGAGTACAGGAGTGGGCTCAATGCACACCCCTGTGGAGCACCAGTGTTCAGTGTGACAAGGGATGAGGTAGTGCTGCCCAGTCTGACCACCTGGTGTCTGTCAGACAGAAAGTTAAGGATCCAGCTGCGGAGGGAGCTGCTCAGTCCTAGATCCTGCAGTTTCTTGTCTAGCTTCGAGGGAACGATGGTGTTGAATGCTGAGCTGTAATCTACAAACAGTATTCTCACATATGTGTCCCTCTTCTCCAGGTGTGACAGGGCAGCATGAAGTGTCAGGGCTATAGCATCATCAGTGGACCTATTGTGGCGGTATGCAAACTGTAGAGGATCCAGTGAGTCGGGTAATGCAGAGCAGATGAAGTCCCTGACCAACTTCTCGAAGCATTTACTCACGATGAGAGTCAGGGCTACAGGTCGCCAGTCGTTCAATGAGGAGATGGTGGAGGATTTGGGTACAGGGACAATGGTGGCCATTTTGAAGCAGGCTGGGACTACCGACAGAGAGAGGGAAAGGTTGAAGATGTGTGTAAACACTCCAGCCAGCTGAGCCGCGCATGACCTAAGGACGCGGCCGGGAATCCCGTCCGGACCAGTAGCTTTGCGTGCGTTCACCCCCCTGAAGCACTTCCGCACATCCTCCTCAGACACAGTGTGCACACCGACGTCATCCGCGATGCGCTCACTGTCCGGTCTCATGATGTTCGCTGTGTCAAATCTAGCGTAGAATACATTTAGGTCCTCACACAGAGAGGCCGCAGTCTGCGGTGTGCTAGTTTCCCCTCTAAAGTCTGTGATTGTGTTTAGTCCCTGCCACATACTCCAGGGGTTGTCAAACTGTTGCTCCACCCTGTCTCTGTACTCACGTTTGGCTGCTTTGATCGTCTTCCGGAGTTGTTAATATGCGTGTTTGTAGTCCGATGTGTTCGCGGAGGCAAAGGCGGTGCTCCGTGCCGCCAGCGCCATTCGAACACCTCCGTTAATCCAGGGTTTTTGATTCGGGAAGGATTGAACTGTTCTGGATGGGACGACATCTTCCACGCATTTCCTGATAAATCCGCAGACTGAGTCTGTGTACTCATCAATATCTTTAGCAGCCGCGTGAAACATTCCCCAGTCCGCGCAATCAACACAGTCCCGCAGCGTAGACTCCGATTGGTCCGACCAACGATGCACCGCCCTCAGGGTTGGAGCTTCCCATTTCAGCTTCTGCCTATAGGCGGGTAGAAGCAGGATGGAGTGGTGATCTGATTGGCCGAATGGGGCGCGGGGGAGGGCTTTGTACGCATCCCAGAAAGAGGTGTATCAGTGGTCGAGTAGCCGGTCTCCATGTGTATTGAAATGGATTTGTTGGTGTAGTTTTGGTGAGACTTTCTTCAGGTTACCCTTATTAAAGTCCACAGTCGTAATAAACGCCGCCTCTGGGTGTACGGTTTCCTCATTGCTGATCGCGCTGTACAGTTCCCTGAGTGCTCGGTGAGTGTTGGCTTGTGGGGGGATGTAAACAGCCGTAATAATCACTGCTGTGAATTCCCTCGGTAGCCAGAATGGCCGGCACTTAATCATCAGGTACTCCAGGTCCGGAGAGATGAAGGATTTGACCGGGTGCACGTTTGCATAATCACACCAGCTGTTGTTGATCATGAAACACGCACCACCGCCTCTGCTTTTCCCAGTAAGCTCCTGTGACCTATCCGCGCGGTACACGGAGAACCCCGGTAGTTGTACTGCGGTGTCCAGTACCTTGTCCGATAGCCAGGTTTCTATGAGGCAGATCACGCAGCAGTCCCG